CGGTGCTGCAGCTGCGGGAGACCGTCCTGCAGCAGAAGGAGACCATCGGGAACCAGCGGGAGGCCATCCGGGAGCTCACCGGCAAGCTGAGCCGCTGCGAGAGCGCCGACGGCAAGTCCGCTACGGGGACGTGGAAGAAGGAGCTGGGCAAGGGCAAGGACACCATGGGCGATCTGCCGCGGGACCCGGCGCAGGTCATCGACCAGCTGAGCCGCACCATGCAGACCCTGAAGGACCGGCTGGAGAGCCTGGAGGTAGGGCCAGGGCGAGGGGGGGGCCAGCCTCCCTGCCCCCCCCGTAGAAACTTGGAATTACTTAACGTGTATCAGTGGCTTTGGACCGCTGGGTGGACACAACAAGTGTGCTTAATCTTGGAGATAAATCCAAACTGGCCAAGCCCTGGGAGTGTGTTGCTTGGTTGGCTTGTCTTGTTTTCTTGATTATTTATCTGCTAGCTTTAATGGTAAAAAACCTGAAGGGCTCCTCTGTGAAAGTGCTCTCCCACTATGTGGGAGAAGATTATGGTTTTCCTGCTTGTCACCAGCTTAGTTTTTGTATTAATGTGTCTAAATCTGTCTTTCTGAGAATGTGGCTTCATGGGGTTTGAGGTATAAAGCTGATGTCTCGGGCAGTAAGACCCTGGCATATAGAGCTGAACAGACCAGTAGGGATGAGGAGATTGTGTTGGGCAGACCATGAAGATAAGATGATGTATTTAGAGCTGACATAGAATAAAAACAACCTCATTCTGTGTACCTGTGAATAGAAAGGGGATTTGGTCCAAGCCCACTGGTCAGTGATTTCCACGAGCACTTTGGACAGTGCCCATGGTTGACTGGCAGTCAGTCACAGACATATTTTATAGAGTATTCCCATAGGAATTGTGCTGGATGTTCCACACCCTGTGAGCTACACGTGTGTCCTCCTGCTGCCCTCCAAACAGTCAGTGGTGATGTGAGGATGGCAAGTAACTTCTTAAAGGTTATTCTGTGAGGTCTAAACACTCTGGACTGCTTTTCAAGTACAGTTTTGAATGATTTGGTAGTGTAACATCCTTTTACTACTGTTGCTGTCTTTGAGGCTTTTTTTTTTTAAGGTTGTAGAAGGGAAACTCCACGAGAATAATATGGTAGGTGGATCTGTTGGTTTCCTGGTATCCTTAAAGATACTAGTCTTGGGGGAGGATGGGGGGGGGGGGATTGCAGTTTAAATAAATACTTTTACTGGCTCATATTTAGTTGGTCTAAAGAGCATCTGACTTCTTTACTCTGCAAATCAAAACTAAGGAAACTTTTTCATTTGGTAAATCTGCTTTTGAAGCAGTTTAATTTTTTATTTAAAAAGAAATAATAGTTTTTGTGTTCACTTAAGTTGGCAATGTCACTTGCAGTAAGTAAAGCAAAAATTGACTAATAATGCCACATGTACCCATACTAATGGAAGTGCATCAAACCTGGCTTTCTACGTTGATTTTATTGAACTTAAATGTATGAAGACTCCTTCATATGAAATGCTGGAAGCCTCTAACAAAAGTGCCTTTTTGTTTCAGGACCTGTTTTGCTGAAATGCTGATAAAAGCACTGAACACGACAAGTGCTAAAAAGCAATGCCTCTCTTGTACTTGCTGGAGAAATCAGTGATCTTGCTTTCTTCCCTTTGAATCAGGAGTATATCCGCATTTTGCAGTTTCTGTTTTAGAAATGACTTTTTTCCTTCTTACTTCTCCTAAAGCACCAACTCCGAGCCAACGTGTCGTATGCAGCACTACCTAACGACCTTAGAGAGATGCTTCAACGGAGGCTTGGAGACCTGGAACGCCAGCTGCTGAGCAAAGTGGCCGAGCTTGAGGATGAAAAGTCTTTGCTTCATAACGAGACGTCAGCCCATCGGCAAAAGACGGAGACAGCCTTGAATGCATTGCTAGAAAGAGTCTCTGAATTAGAAAAAGGTAATCTGCACAGAATCTACGTGCTTCCCCATGATGATGAATTTTGTTTATTCCTTCTTTCTAGTGCAGTAGTCTAAATGTGGACCTTGAGGGAGAGACAGTTAAGGTGCTGGACTAAATAGTAGGTGACAGTGCAAGGTGACTTGGATTCCCTTTTTCCTTTTGTCACAGGCTTCCTGCTTGACAGGCCTCTGCATGGCTTTGGCTTCCTGTCTCTTAATTTGGCATATGTGGGTGGTTAGGATGAAACTCTTTGTGTTTGTGGGATGGGAAGATATTTAAGGAGGCAAGTGGAAATAGGAAGAAGTATGACACTGGTGTCAGGTAAATACTAGATAATGTCAAGTACATATGTAAGTAGAGCTGCCTGTCTTTATTTGGACTGAAAATCATATGGGCTAAATTTAATTAGCATGACTAATGATGTAACGAATGGCATTTTATACCAGAACCATTTCCTGCTGCTTTGTAAGTATTGCTGGTGGTCTTCCCTTTAGCTGCTGGTTATGACTTTGGGTAACTGCAGGTACTTGCATTGTGTCCTATCCCAAGTGTATAGCCTCCAGAGTTTACAGCAGATTACACATGGTGCCACTGGGGGACACTGTCTTAATCCTAGTCACTTATTCAGATACTTAGATTAATTATTACTGAGATCTTGATGGTTGAGTAGAGTCTGTTTATTTGAATTGCAAATGCCCGTGGAAATGAGCTGAAGACCAGAACTATCTTTCTATATTGACTATATACACCTACAGAGTAGACTGTGTAGGACTGGAGTACCAGACCTCTAGTAAATGCCCACTCTTTATGTAATTTTTCCAAGGTGAATAGGTTTTCTACTTAAAAGCAGCTTAATGGCCATGCTTTCAAACTGGTGGAAACATACACATCTCATGAATTTTAAAATGCAGCCTAATGGGTCCATTTGTGTAATATTGTATCTATTTTTTTTCATTTAAAAAGCATGAAGGAGGGGGAAAGGGAAGGATGAAGAAGAGATCTTCTACTGGCTCTGTCACTTAGTATTTCCTGAGAGCCAAGATAAAGCCTAAACTGCAACTAATGTTCAACTAATGCCTGTTAACATCTTATGTGGCAAGTATTGCCAGTCCTTGTCTCTGAAAGATGTGACTCATAGCAGCAAGTCATCAGAAAGAGAAAGGGAGTGGTGGGAGAACAAGCATGTGTAATTTAGGTCAAAAATAGCCTGTTCCCACCTTTATTTTTTGTGTGGGGAGAGGGCTGTCTTAAGTCTCCAACAGAGTGAAGAATTTGGGCCAGGTACCAAGACACAGACTTTCTTTTAGTTGTGTAAGTACATTTTCTATTGCAGTGCAGTTTAGCTGATATGTGCCTTTGGTTCCTCTGTCAAATCAAAGTGAGGGTAATAATGATCTAAGCACTTAATGATTTTTTTAGACTAAATGCAGACAATATTTGAAGTGATCTGACCTCTTTTGAAAATAGTATTTCTATTGTGCTTTTATTTTAAATGCCATATTGTTTAGCATCTCTTCCTGACAACTAACTAGTGTCATAAGCTCCTTGTTGTCCTGAGACTAAATAAATGGAGGAAAACCTAACCTTATAAGGTGACGCTATGACCTTTGGATTTTTTTATCTGTAGTTGTGACAGCTGTTTTTATTTGCCGGTGGGGCACAAGAGTTTGAAGTTTGTGATTCCCAAAGTCTTCTGGTAATTCCTTCACTGGTTGTCTCCATTGACAGCAGTAGATGATGCATTAAAAAGCAGGACTGGGTGGAGAAATGATCCTGCAACTAATAGTGCCTGGACTTAAATGTGATACCTAGTTTTGCTGGAGGCACGAACAGGTCACTGGCTATGTCTAAATCTATTTTCTCCATCTCTAAAGGGGAATAACAATATTTTTTGCTCATCTTGTTCAAAAATAATTCAGTTTCTTTAGGAAAAGGATTGTCTTATCCTGTGCGTGTGCCCACTGCCCAGAACAAGAGGATCTTGTTATCACTTGAGTTCTGGATGTTCTCAAGTCATGAGAACAAACCAAAAAATACAAAAAATATTAATATTGTTTGTTCTTTTCCAATCCATTATTGCATCCTTAAACTTTTTCAGAGTGACTAATGCTCTTAATGGAGTATGTTTTTGTTTGGGGTTTGTTTGGTTTTTTAATATGTGAGATTGTACTAGCCTTGTAGAGGTTGTTCAAACAACATTAGCCCTAAGAACCTGGGGATTTTTTGCTTAAAATCTAGACTGTTTTGGTTTTTTGTAAAATTCTGTAAATTCCTCAAGACAGATGTCAGCATCAGACAAGCTTTTTCTTCTTCCACCCCCTCGTTCTGTGAAAAATGCCGTCAAAACACTTCAGTTGCTTCTGAGAATGGGAACTAAGAGAATGCCAACATATTTTTAAAATTACATATGAGAATTGTGGCAACCTTTTGTGACAACAGCTCTTCATTTGGATTGGAGTGTGAAGTTTGGCAAGGGGATTGAATTTGTTTCAGGAATGTGAGTAAAGGAAATGAGTGAGAGTCAGAAGAACACGTTGCTAAAAGGTTGAGGGTAACGCTGTACTACAGAACTGTGAGGTTTTATTTTGTGGCACAATGTGGGGTTTCTCTCTTCCTGATATTTAATTCTAGAAAATTACTTGCAAGCAACTACATCAGAAGTATATGCAAATGGTATTACACAGGTATCAGAGTATTGCAACTTTCTGAAGTTTTGGTCTTAGGAGTTCTCAATTTCATAAACATTTCTGTGGAATATCTCACTGGGTCTTACTGTATCATTTAGAAAAAGCTAAGTAATAATTTCTGCTTTAATATTAAAATGAATGTCTAATGTTTTTGTAGTTCATAACTTTATATTGCATTTTTCTTCAGGTCACTTTGAACTTCAGCTTTATATTTTTGTTCAGATCTCCTGATTTGTCTGAGACAGAAATCAATTCTACTGAATTTAACTCTGCTTTCTGGAATATGTCAGCTCTTTCTTATTTCAGATTGACCACCCAAAATGAGAGCATCAACCTGTTTCTCAGCCTGCTAGCTGTAAAATGGGGATGCTGCTGCTAGCTCCCTGTGTAGCAGTAGTAGGAAAAGAAATACTGTTTTTTTTTGAAGTGCTGTGATGCTTTAATAATGAGCATACCAGAGAAGCCATGTTTAGTAACAGTAAATATCTTTTAAAACAGTTTGAATTGTTTGAAATGGGCAGGCCTCCAGCCATGAACTAAGCAATGAAGAAAGAAAATATTTAACAGCCTCTCATTAGTTGTCTGCCATCTATTATTTTGCTCTAAATGAGCAGGAAAATAAGTAATTAGCATGATGTGTATAAAATCTACTGGTATTTTTCTGTGCTGCAGAATCATCATTCACTAATGCTGCTTCAACATAGTTTTTGCATACCTCTCTGCAGTGATTAAAATCCCAAAGATTCTCAGTATCAATTATATTGTTTCTTAACCTGAATTACAAATACACTATTTTGGTTAATGTTAAAGATTTTTCTTCCTCAATGTAATTCTAGGTAACAGTGCATTTAAGTCACCTGATGAATTCAAAGTCTCCCTTCCTCTTCGCACAAACTACTTATATGGGAAGATCAAGAAGACTCTTCCAGAGCTATATGCTTTTACTGTATGCTTGTGGTTGAGATCAACTGCTTCTCCTGGAATTGGCACTCCATTCTCCTATGCTGTTCCTGGGCAGGCTAATGAAATTGTCCTCATAGAATGGGGGAATAATCCAATTGAACTGCTCATTAATGATAAGGTGAGAATCGACTACCTTTTCTTATGTCTACGTGATCAGAATAAGGCCTGAACCCTTGGTACCTCTCTAGTAACTCTTTCATTCTCTCGGAGAAGCCAGCTCTGGGCCTTTGAGGTGGTAGTGTGCACTGGCATGTTGTTGTCCATCTGCTTGTTGCAAGTTCATAAAAGTACTTGAAAGAAAGTCAAATGGTACATAGATTTGTGTGTTGAGACAAAGCAGCATGACATCTAGATGTGCACATCTTTATGCACGTCCTTTGAATTTACAAGCAGATCTTGGCTGCTTGTTTTTTTGTTTCATAAAACAGAAGCAATATTTGAAGCCACATTATTGCAAAACCTGTGAGATACAAACCAGTTGCAGTATTTCTGTCTTTCTAATCCTAGAAGTTCAGATATGTTAAAAAGAATTTGGCAGAAGACAAAGCAAAAGGCATGTAATTGTGGCCGGTTTTGTTATGTTTAGTGACTGAACATCAGTTTAAATATCATTTTTTCAGACTTTAGATACAAAAAGCAACAATTATCTCAACTACTTCATACCACTGATTTCTGACAAGCTACAGAATGATGCTTGAGGAAAAGACGACCTGGTATTGAAACTTGGTATTAAACCAGATTATAAATCCTTCCTTTTTCTCCACCTTCAGCTTCGGCTAGTTATGACATCTAAATAGCTGATGGTAGCTAAGTGACTTGATTTGAATCAGTGACAGCAAAACTAAATTCTTTACTTGGCTAGGCTACTTTGTAGAATAACTTGCCTTTAGGCACCATCCCTTATTTTCTTTGGCCTCAGGTTTCCTGGTAACTCTCTGCTCTCTGAGGGATCAGCTGTTTACACATCTACAACACAACTCAGGTGGTTCAGTCATGGGGCTAGTTAAGGACTTTTCACAGTCCTATCATCCTCCCAAATCTATAAAAGTGAAAAGCTGACTATTTTTGAATGCTTTGTGGAAGAGAAGGAAACTTGAGTTAGCAAGTCCTTAGGAATGTTTTTTTCCTCTTCACTATTATGTCAGTACTACTAACTGAGGCTTTTCTTTCTCCCACATCACAGTTACTCCATAGCCCACTGCATTGGTGTCTTTATGTTGACTTGCGTAAGTTTTTGGATCAGATTCCTAAAGGAGCATAACTCCTCCTTATTTGGAGCCCTATGTAACAGTTCCCACAAATTTTGCTGGAAGCAGGAGGTCCACTTGCCAGAGTTGTTACTGCAAATGGTGCAGGCAAATCCCAGATGTTAAGAGAAACTGAGCATGAGCACTGGATGGAAAGTTAGGACTAAGCACTGAGATTTAAGCAACAAATGCCACAGACTAATATGTAGAATCAGCTTAGACACTGGGACTGGTGTCACCAGATTCTACATGAAACAAAGGCTCACATCTAGAATAAAAAGCATTCTTTAAAGCATTCATAAAAAGGTTCTGTTGCTGAATACAGGAGATCTGGGACCAAGTAGAAAGATGTGGACTAACTTCTGCCTCTGAAGTTTTTTCCTCTGAGGACAGAGTAAATACTGTCACTTTTTAAATGTTGTGTTTGAACCGGTAGACTTGGTTTGCAACATACGTTATTCTTTGTTTTTTGTAGGTTGCTCAGCTCCCTCTCTTCATTAGTGATGGAAAATGGCATCATATCTGTATAACATGGACAACCAGAGATGGAATGTGGGAGGCTTTTCAGGATGGAGAGAAGCTTGGCACTGGGGAGAATCTTGCTCCTTGGCACCCAATTAAACCTGGAGGTGTCTTGATCCTGGGTCAGGAACAGGTGAGTGAATGACACTGTGTTCCAGGGTTTCAAAAAAATAAAAATCAAAACTCCCTAAACAGACAGCAGCTGTGAGAAAATGTCTTGTTAAACACTTAGTCCTGTTGTATACATGGTATCAGAAAGATTAAAACAAAGCAACAAATTCTTAATGCAATCACACATAGGTATATTTTGTTTTATAGAATCCCAGACTGGTTTGGGTTGGAAGGGATGTCAAAGCCCATTTAGTTCCACCCCCTGCCATGGGCAGGGACACCCTCCACCAGACCAGGTTGCCCAAAGCCCTGTCCAACCTGGCCTTGGACACTTCCAGGGATGGGGCAGCCACAGCCTCTCTGGGCAACCTGTCCCAGTAACACCACCCCCATAGAGAAGAATTTCTTCCTAATAGTTAACCTAAACCTACCCTCCTTCAGCTTCAGGCCATTCCCCCTTGTCCTGTCACTACATGTTCCAGGTGGGGTCTCACAAGAACAGAGTAGAGGGGAGAATCCCCTCCCTTGACGTGCTGGCCATGCTTCTTTGGATGCAGCTCAGGATATGGTTGGCTTTCTGGGCTGCAAGTGTATATTGCTGCACATTCCTTAAATATTCAGATATTCATGTTGCACTTATTCCTATTGCCACTCTTAATGCTAGTGTGCAACTTTGTCAGTGATCTGAGTAATGCCTTAAATTAAATCCTTTGAGCTAGATTGCTGGTAACTAGCAATGTGGCCACGGAAGTTACAGAAAAGGACAGAATTGGCCAGTGCTGTTGTATGAGCAGTCAAAAAGGAACTTGCTGAAAGCAGACCAAGTACAATTAAAAAATTAAAACAAATCAAAGCAATTAAAGACAAATTGACTGTTCCCCTTAGCAGTTTACTTCTTCTTTCCCTCCCTTTCCTCTTTATCCCATGAATAGTAAGAATGTTAGTCCTTGAGCCCTGGAATAGACCAAGTAAAGTGTGTGTGTGGGGTGACTATGGGCACTGGAGTGCTTGTGGGTATATCAGGATCTTTTATAGTTTGGCCTGCTACGGAGAACTCCCTCCAGACTGAACTCTGCAGCTTTTCAGGTATGTAACACATTTCTAGAACTGTGGAGTCTGTAGCTCATTCAGAATTTGATCTCTAAAGATGAGTTTGAAGTCAGAGATGAGCTCCAAATCAGACATTTGGTTTATCATTAAAGATGTAGGTAGATAACTCTCCTAATGCAAATGCTAGTGAAGTTTGAATATTGATACTGCCAACAGAAAGCATTCATGAGGTTAAGCCCTTTTTGAATATTGGGGGAAAAACAAACAAAAAAACCCAACCCAAAGGATTTTGAATCTCACTCTTCTAGATAACACCTCATTAAGCTATTACCTATGAATTCCGTTTCTCTACCTGTTCTTAGTATGATTATACATACACTAAAAAATATTCATACAATGAGTAGCAGGAAATAGCCTTTCTCCAGGATTCCCAGGTTCACAATGGGGCAAGGCAATGAAAAATTAGTTTTGTCCTGATACTGATTTTTAGTAAATACTTATCCATGATGTAAGTGACAGAATGGTGAATTCAGAATCCTAATGTACTCTGCATTGCAGATGCTCCAGCTCACTACTAAGTGGCTGGTATCTTTTCTGTACCTCTCATGCCTTTTGCCTGTACTATGCTTGGTTCTATCCTATGCTCTTGGTTTCATGTTAGTGTGATTGCACAAAATGTGTGATTTCTGTCCTTGAGTAGTGGATGGAGCAAACACTTAGGCTTATGCAGTAGCAGTTTGACTTAGTCATTTGGTACAACTGGTAGAAGCTTGTGTATTTAGATCCAAAGATCGCATCTTATAGGCCCTGCAGGCAATTGGTCAAGGGCTGCAGTTACAGTTTAATCTATAGCCACAAAGCTTTTGGAGTAATCTTACACATCTATGCAGTCCTTGTTGAAGTTTTCCTGTGCCAAGCTTGCAAAATAGCTCCTAAATTAGCCTCAATATTTAAAGCTGCCTCCCTGTTCTACTGCTTGGGGGCAGCATTAGTTATGTATAGCCTTTGTGTGATGGTATACAGTCCCTACTGTTTGCTTTGAATTGTTTTGACATGTTTCACATCGGAGCTTTTAAATGTTCCATAGAACATCTTGTTTAAAGTAGCCCTTCTAGAAACTTGAAGTTGTTTGTCTGACCTAGCTCTGCACATCCTTCTAGCAGCATGCCTGGGGGGAGGGTCTTCAAGTTTGAAGAAGAAAATGCTGAAATAATACTCTTATCTAATCCTAACTCTTGTGTGCCTAAAGGACACAGTAGGAGGAAGATTTGATGCTACTCAAGCCTTCGTTGGGGAGATGAGCCAGTTCAATATATGGGACAGGGTCTTAAAAGCTGAAGACATCATGAATATTGCTAACTGCTCTACCAACATGCCTGGCAACATCATACCCTGGGTTGATAACAACGTTGATGTGTTTGGAGGTGCTACTAAATGG